ACGAAACGAATAACAGGGCGAACTTGCTTGCTCCGCTGAACTAAAGTGTTGCAGAGAACAGGCGTCGGCCGTTTAATTAACGGGAAGCAAATGTGCTTCCGGCACACGCCTGAATAATCGTTTAATTATTTATTCCATGTATCTTGTACAGCCAGGATTTGAAAGGAGAAATGAATCATTGAACATTGTCGCGTCTCGTTTCTATCTAAAAATCCCGTTAATACTTACGCGACTGATACGACCAATAAGAACAGATACAGATAGATAATGATCTTATTTAATCCTACAATTCTAGAAATATCGAATATCGAATTCTTTTTCTCCCGCGAAATTGTATATATTTTAAGGTAGAACCAGTTGGAAAATGAAACGGCCGATTATTCGGCCACTTGATATCGACCGAGTAGCGATATTCTTCACGAGCGAGCGGTTCGCTCGTACACAGCTGCCACCTGCCGCAACACCATATGTTGTTACTATTATTAGCCGTTCGCGCCACTCTTTATGGCGCGTGTCATTTTTATTATTTCCTCGTCGAAATACGTCCTATTTTTGCTCGCCGATATGACCCGATCGAAAATTTCGTTCCGTGAAACAACGTTAACGACGTGTCCCGTTTCCTACTTTCCCATCGAGCTCATAATCGATTTGCCTCGTTCGGGTAAAAAAAAAAAAAAAGGCGTTTCAAAATGGACGATTTAACGAACTTTGATTTGATCGTTGCAACGAATTTCCTTGCACGATTAATTAACCCTCGATTCGTTCAGAACGAATTCGTTTAGTTTTTTTCGTTAGAAGAATACGAATTTTATTATATTCGTATTTAATTAACGGGGAATATGTTGAAAGGGAGAGTACCTATCATCGATCTCTCGTTCAAATTGTTGGTCGTATTCTTAAGATTCTTTCCAGAGAGAGGACGTTTTGAAATTTAAATCGTTCGAATCAACAATTAAAATGAGATACGAGGGGCCGTATATTTTATCGCTTTGCTCCAGTTTACACCTGTCCGGTATATTACGATACACCACCGGTGTCATCGTGCATCATCTCGCTCTGCGATTCCAATTTATAATATAATAAATTTTACGCGGGGAGAATTGCGAATAGCGGGTGAAAATTTTCTGCCTCTCCCGGAAAAGAGAATGAAAAGTTTATCAAACGTTCGATTTAATCATCCGAGTTATTTCGTAACGAGTCAACAGTTGTTCCGATTTTCACGTCTTTTCACGATCCAGCCGCTCGATCGATTTCACTTTTTAAGGAGAAAAATAATTATTTCGAAATTAAATGCATTGGCGATATCCGTGGGAGGATGGTTATTACAACGGTTGTTACGTAACGGAGGAACAATACAAGAATACAGGCGTAGATCGCATTGGAAATCGGTGTTCGATAATCGATATTTCGTGTGACGCGTCGTGATAACGCTCGACCGTTGATATTTCGGCAGCACATGCCACCACCGGCTTGAACCACCGCCATGTGTTCGATGCAGTTTCCAACGGCACGTTGTTACATTAACGTATGCCTCCCGCTACACGTGTTCGTATTTCATCGACAGCGTAAATATTTCCACGACTTTTATTCTAGCTAAAAGAGAGAATGATGTTTAGCAAAAATAGAAAATTAAATCTCACAGCGCAGTTCGTCAAAGTTCGTCAAAGTTTACTTTAAGCTCGAATAATAACAACGATTATAGAGAGAGAAGAAAATATTTGCTTATACCGTCGCGGAAATACCAAGTAGTGACGAGCAACGATTCGATAATATTTCGATGTGCGACGTCCGTAAGTAAACTATCGATATTTCTACCAGTTGTCCATCACCAGTTGTTCCGGATGGTGTACACATCGTTCATTTTGACGTATGGACATATTCCAACTTGAATACGAATGTCCCCACGCTGTGGAAGCTGTTCAAATTCTTATCGAATTAGCAACAGAACGAAAGATAGTTACGCAAATAACGCGTTTCTTTCTTGCCGATATATCTATCTGCCCCATTCGTTTTCTTTTCTCTTTCGTTCCAATTTGCAAGTATAATTTTACAAAGCTAATATTTCGCAACGTAGAACGTGGTGGGCTACAGCGGCGGAGAGAAGGAAAGTGGTGGGGGTAATAGGGCGATTGCCGCGCCAACCGACGAACAACAACGTTCTTCTGACCTTTTCGAAGAACGTATCCCGTAAAGTTCTATCACCTCGTTGAGAACGGCTCGAACGAGGGGCATTCGCGAATGGTCGATCTCTCCAATTTGCTTGTGGTGGAAGCACAACACTGTGGTTCTCGTGGTTATAGTTTCTGTTAGGTGGCGAAATTAATTGGAATTAGCAGGTCGGAAAATGAAAATTTACGATTATAACCGCGTAACGTTACAATATTGCCTCTGAATGGGTTATTTACGACGCCATGCCTGTTAATTCTTTTCATTGAAATTTATCATTTAATACCCGGTAAAATAATTACTTGAAATTGTAATCGGAAGGTATAATAATTTTATTTATTAACAGATGAAGATAATTTTTACGTACAGCACACTCTCGTGTATCGCCATTCGTAATAATTGTGGAATATCATAAATTATAACATAAATAGTATCGACTATTAATTCCGTACGTTTAAAGCTTTAAAGATGAAATTGCGTTTGTATAATTTAATCTCTAACTGTCTCGATTAATCGGCGACAATTTTTTTTCCTTTCTCTCTCGAACAACGATATTTACGCAATCGTATTTACACTTCCTTTTTATAATCCGCGAAGCCGTTCCGTAGTTGTGGTTTCACCGTGGCAGAATCGTCGAAGACACTTAGATTTCCCGCAATACGAGCATTTGTTCGGTCGATCCCCTTCCGGTCAAACGATCGATTGGTGAAACCGACTTTTTATTTACGTAATTTAACGATCGAAGCAGGAACAGATGAAACAGGACGATCCCCCATAATACATAATCGTCGGAAATTTAAACCTGATTACTGATAGTTGAGTTATGCAATTGCAGCCAGTGAATTTCTTTTCGAATCTTTCCGAGAAGAAAAATTTGAATTCAGGAAAAATCGTCGATATCCATTCGACGATAAATTAAATTCCATATATATATAAATGAACGAAGGGAAGGAAGATCGTGGAAGATAAATAAACGAGTTTCGTCCATTTTTTTTCCCTTCTCCCTTTCCTTCCTTTTAATTAGTTACATCATTCGTCCGCATCTGTTGCATCGAATAGTTGGCCATCCTGGTCGGTTCTTTTATATAACCACGAGACTATTCAAAGTTCCGCAAAAGGGCCGGCGCGATAAAGAAGCGTAGAAAGCGAGGTGTATATAAGAAGTTGCGTGCAACTCAAAGGTAGAGGAGTGGCGCGTGTATATGGCCGGTACAACAATGCCAAATGAAATTCATTAAAAGGCGTATACGTATAAAAAAGCGTGTACACGGGCTCTCTAATAATACTTAAAAAAGAAAAGAGGGGAAAAGGAAAATAATTACTTGGTTCCCGCCGCGGTTCTATATAACGTTGAGTTAAAATTTTACGGCTTGTAGACGTGATGTACAGTTAAGTTACGTTATTTATCGCGAAATGAACTTACCACACGTCATGAATATTCCTCCCCTCGATGTTGATTGATCAGCGTATTCAAAATTGCGCGCGCGCACACACGCACGCACGCACACACACACACACACACACACACACACACACACACACACACACACACAATATATTCGACTACTTATTTTAAAACGGTGTACAACATGTAATATTGCGTTAAGCTTGCTTCGTTAATTAGTTTCGCGAGTTGAACAAAAATGCAAGAAAAATTTTTCGCCTCGCCTGCCGCGTTGCAATTTGAAAATTACTGAATAATTACTGAAAATACGAATTTCATTTGAATTTATCGAACGAAAATTTATTGAATCGCGAAAATTCTTCTCCTATTTTAAATTGCGAAAAAAGCGGGGGAGGAGGAGGGGGGGAGAGAGAGAGAGAGAGAGAGAGAGAGAGAGAGAGAGAGAGAGAGAGTAGTACG